TAAAGGGAAAAAAAAAAAAAAACACACACACACACATATCGTTAAGATAGTCAGGAAAGCTTTTCAGGACTTCAAAACGTGGAGATCTGTTGAAACCTCGATTTTTGCAAAACGGGGTAAAACCAATAACTTCCCGATTTTCTGAAAATCATTGATTTCCTTAGCGGGAAGTTAAAAATTAGAAAACAGTGTTTTTTTAACAATAATTTAAAATTTTACGTCGGATCGTTTGGTAGATGAGAAATAACCTTTTTATGTATTGAAAAACTGCGTCAAATGCTGTAAGCCCTATCAAAAACGATTGATTAAATCGGTAGATATCACAATTAAAAATCTTCTAAAAAGTATGTTCTCAACAACCACTAGAATTTTGAGCTTGAAGAAGAATAAAAGTTGTGTTCTTGAGCTCGAAGAGCTCAAAACTTCGGAATAGATAATTTTTAGAGCGTTTTATACATAGCGGGAAAAGTTCCAGGGATGGCCTGCAGGGTTAACCGATTTCTAGATTTTTTTACCGTATATTATTATTTTCCATAACATAAATTATTAATGTTATTTCAATCAAGGTAAAGTAATGTCATTTTCATGAAATGAAAACTTTTTGAGTAATCATTTTTTTAATTCACATGTAAATGCACTATATATATTTGTAAACTCACAGATACTTAAAAAATTCTTTAGTTTAAAAAACAATTTAATCAACCATTTTTATTTTGATACTTTTTACCCCTTTTCTATTGAAAGCTTATGAAATACTGAAAATAATACAAAGAGATTGAATAACTTTTAAAAAAATTTATCAAAATGTTGATAGGAATATAGACCTATATGATAAGTATCTTCCGTGACTATAAAGTTGCAATCTAATTCAAGTTAATGACTGGAATACTTCTAAAAATTGAAGAATTTATTCTAGTATACTGTATTTTATTTCCTTGAGTAATTTTTATTCGGCCATGGAAGCAGTTGTGATATGAAATAATTGTTTTTTAACGTTATCAATGAATTATAATATTTTGAATTAAAAATATTTTCTTTTTTAAAAATATCTCCATTTTTTTAGTGTATTTTTATAAGAAAACGTCAATTTTCAATTGAAAACTAAAATATTTTGTCCAGAGTACCATGTCTAGAGCTGAAAAGCTAATTACCTTCATGCGAAACCTTACTGCAGAAGTGGACTTCTCTAAAAGATGGGGTGTCGATTACTATTTGAGTGCTGCTGGGCTGGATGTAGATACTAATTATCGTCGTCTAGGATTGGGGACTCATCTGTTATTAGCGAGGTAATAACTATCTTATATTTTTTACTAATTTTGCTCTGTATTTATGATATTTGATGTGTTTTAGAGAAAAGATAGCTCAAGCATACAACATCTCAGTTACTTTCACATTTTTCTCTTCGCCAGCCTCACAAAAAACTGCGGAGAAAGCTGGCTTGAGAGGCTTTTTTGAAAAACGCTGGAACGACATTGTTGATGACAAAGGAAACATTGTTTTTCCAGGACTTGGAGATACTTATTGCAAAGTAATGGAAAAGAAATTCGAGTAAATTCTAATGAAAATAATGATTTCCTGTTTTGGCTTACTAATTTTCCACAACTTAAATTAAACTTTGGCAATGATGATTATTATTTTTGCTGTTATTAATATTATCCTTATCAGCCCATAGCTTTAAAAAGAATATTATTTGGATTTATCAATTCTTAGTAAATGAGCAAGGTTTTCTTCTCCTTGAGGTGTAAATTTTTAGATTGTCTTCATACTATATATAAAAAAATTATGACGCATAATATAATTTCAAATTTGAGGCTGGCAATAGCCTAATCGGCTCGATACCTGCATTTCGAAAGAGTGGAACCAGGGTTCGATTCCAGCACGCACCTATATTTTCAGTGATTATAAAATAAAAAGAATATGTACACGGAGAGAAAAATAAGGAAATCATTCCTATAATTTTAATGAAATGTTTTCCTATACCATTTTAGGAGCGATTACTTAAAATATGGAAATTGTACCCATAATTTTTGGGAAATGTTACAATAATTATGGGAATGGTTCCTATATAATTCCTGGCAATTATAACTGTAATATCGGCATGATTCCCATAATATATAAGAATGGTTCCTATAATATATAGAAATAGTTTCTATAATATTATAGGAACCATTCCCATAATATTATAGTGATAATATTGAGATATTTATCATTACAACTTGATGTGCGTCATTGTTTATGTCAAATTTTTTTAAGTCTTAGTAGATAGATTTTATGAATTTCATAAAAAGTAAAATATTTTGCAACCACGCACACTAAATACGTTCCAAAATTATTTCTTTAATTTTTAAATTTACAACAAAATGTTTTTTAATTTCTGAAAATTATATAAAATCATATCGGTTACTTGGATTCTTTAATTTTTTTATTTTATATCTTTTTGTAACGAAAAAAAAATTTTTTTTTCTTAATAGTCTTATGAACATGGACTTGGCGCAATTTTTTACAGTGAAACTGTTTTTGTTCAGATAGTCTTATGCTGATGGCTTTCACTCCACAAAAGGTAAGCACACTAACTGAATCTCAGCCATTGTTGCAGTTTGAGGACACGTTAGGAGATGAGTCGATGGGAACCCGTCAGTCTCAACCAGACAACCATGGGTACCCACTGGAGGCGCTTGACAACAGCAATGTTATGGCAGATGAGTTATGTACTTGTAAATGTTGTAAAACAAGTGAGATAAGGCCTGGAGAATTGGAGCATAAAGTCAGGGTACAGCTAGAAATGATTAGACAGGAAATGCGAGATGTGCTAGAAAATAAGAGTGCAAGATCAGGTACTGTAGACCAAACAGTGGATCAAGACACCGTGGATCAGGACATTGAACCTAGTGAAATTAGCAGTTCACCGGAGTGCTGGAGCGAGGCAGACGTAGAATCGGAAGCGGAATTATCGAGCAGGCCAATCCCAGTACAGAAGCGTGTAACAGGGTAAATTACCCTCAATCGATAAGTCGCCAGAGATCGATAACTTTTTCGACTAGCATTTGAGCGCATCGATCTTTAGGCCTAGAGAGAGAGACGAGGAGGGGGTATTTTGGGGAGTCGTTAAATAGGTGAGCCATGCGTTGTGTCGGGAGAAGTAGTGAAGTGCTGAAACGAGTAAGATCCAGAAATCCAAGAAGGAAGCCCGGGAGTTCTTCAAGCCAATTTACACCAGGTATTGGACTTTGGTAGTGATGAGCCTTGGGGCCAAATACCCGGCTCATCAATAATACTACTTCTCACTTATAAATTCATTTCGATAATTCAATTGTCTAATAATAACTTGCTTAATAATAATTAATTATTTTAATTGATTTGGTTCGGTAGCAGTTTGAGCATTCTTCTTGGGGATTTTATACCCGAGGAATGTTCTAGACCTCTTGGGTTTGCAAGTCGGGAATAATCAATTTTATTAATTTGGCCAATTGATAATTATTAACAGCTTAGATTAGTTTAAATAAATCTATTTTATATTAATTAAATTTTGAACATCGAGAAGGTTCCAATCGACGGTGTCCAATTTGAGCGCGCAAATCCCTTGTGAACTTTATGACGCAGTAAATTTATGAAATCAACAATTGGACTATTATTATTAATTACAACAATTGAATTATCGTTAATCATCATGAATCGTCATTCTCAATTACCGGAAAATATTTATTCAACATGATATAAATTATTGAGAATTAATTTGCTAAATCTTGGCGCAGATAACATCAGTATACCCGTAGATAAACTTTAGGCAATTAATTTTTATATTGAGGAAATCACTAATTAATGATCTAATTTAATTGCCAATTTCTACTTGGGTTGTTTTATATATTGAATTCATGTTCTGGAAAATTCGTCAATAATTTAACATCATTATTTCGGTAAAATTCTTTGTAAAACTATTTATCAGTGTGGATTACGTCCGAGAAAATTTAGTTCATTTTATAAAGAATATTCTTAGAATTGGTTTAATGTGCTGAGTTAAGTTCGTGTTAAATTTGGAAGAAGAAAGAGGCGTCGATTTTAAGTCGAAGTTAATGAGAATTTATTTTATTAATCGTAGAAAATTGTTTATGATTTTAATCTCGAGCTAATGACTGAATAGTTTTAGTAAAAATTAACGTTGTAAATTTTGGAGTTCCATTTTGTAAATCCGGAAATAAAAAATAAAGTAGAGTCAGTATGTGTGTGGAGACGCGTGGGTTATGTGTGTGTGAGTGTTAACAGCGTTCCTTCGCATACGATTAGTCTCTTTGCGAGGTGTTTCGCTGTTGTCCTAGAAGCCGCTGTATAGACGCCAAGTGGGGTACAGCGGTAGTAAGATAGAAACCGCAGTATAGACGCTCCGTAAGAGGGTACTGTGGGATTAAGCATTTTTTGGTAAGCTCGCGGGAGGAAATCGGTCTACGTTTAGTCACTGGGTCGACTACTCCCGTGAGCCGAGTTAACGAGCTCTTGCATACGATTAGTCTCTTTGCAGAGTGACCAGGCGGTTGAGTCGTGGAGTAGAGGTTGAACTAGTGTTTAGTTGAGTTGAGGAGAGTAGTAATAAGTCGTAGTGTTAAGTTAGTTGTAAGTGAGTTGGGAGTACGTGCAAGTGCACGAGTTGTTATTTTATTTTGTTAATAAATTTTGGTACCGTTGTTAAATAAAAATTTATTCATTTTCAGAACACCTTCCTCCACTCTCTCTCCCTGTAGATTATTAAGCTCAGCTCTGGTTTCCGGTTCCAGGAACCGCATTGAAAATCCTGGTGGCGCCCTGGTAAATCTTAGAATCATTTTGTTTATTAAAATTGCTATTATTTAAATTTAATCAGGGGCCAAATGAGCGGGAAATAAACCACCCGTTACAAGCGTAAAAGAAGGCCAGTGAAAGAAATAGGGTAAGAGATGGAGCTCATACCAACTCAGATTTAGGGAACGTGCAAGATGAAGGACAGATTCGGGATGTGAGATCTCAGGAAGAAGTCTGTGTCGCTTCAGTGGAAGGGGGCGCAGATTCCCAGAATAAAGAGAGAGGGAAAGAAAAAGAAAAAGGAAAAGATAAAAAAACTACAAGGAATCAAACTGAGCCCCCGATTGGAAAAGGTAGCAGCATGTTTTAACATAAATTTCACTTTTTTTTTTAAAGTGAATTTCGCATTTTTTTAATGTCATTATTACATTGAAAAACTGTAAAATTAACTGTTTTAGATTGACGGCTTCCACAATGTGAAAATAACATTTTTAACTTTGTAAAATTGACAGTTTTGGGTTGACAGCGGTAAATCTGTAAATTTTACAGTTTTTTCTGTAATTTTGACAGAGTCTTTTTTTCCGTGAAGAGATATTTTCTTGATCTAAGAATTTATTTTGGAAGTAGAGATGTGCATTTACCAGTATTTTGATTTTATGTGACGAGACCGTCATAAATACCGTTTTGTGACGGTGAGTGACGTCACAAATTTTTTTTCAACACGTTTGTTGTGCAAATGACGGTCACAAGCCCGGTCACAATTGTTATCGTCAAATACAACTACGTAGACGTCCCGTGACGGTTTTTTTTACAATAATGACTTAATTATTTGGGAATTATTTCACTGAAAGACGAGAGGTTTGATAAAAATAAAATGTCAAGTTAGAATGAGTAAAATTTGTTAAAGGATGAATTTCATTATTTAAAACTTTGCTTGAAATTAACAAATAATAATATTTTTTTCTTGGGATATTTTTATTATCATAACATCTTAGTTGTTTGGTTTAATAAAAAAATAATTTTAATTTTTTGTTTACTTATAATATTTAAATAAATATTAATTTCATTTCATAAAACTCTAATCTCTCTAGTTGATTCACATATATGTGAATCATCAATCAATCGGCTATAGCCGCGTGCATAAATTTTGAGTTGAGAAGGACAAAATAAACGCTACACAACCGCTAAAATCCTAAAATACATTATTTGTAATTGAAGTTAATTCCACTAGATGGCGATAGTTTGTGACCGTCTCGTCATAACACTATCGGTCACAAAACCGTCTTGTGACGGTAAAAAGTTTGTAAAATTACTCGTCACGTGACCAGTGTACATCTCTACTTGGAAGACAAATGATTATCTTGTTCTAAGAATTTCTTGTCTTGATTTAGATTTTCTTAACTTAGTAGCTATATTATCTTCAATTTTTTAGATTTAGATTTTGTTTATTTTATGCCAAGGCACAGGCCAAATGGCAATTTCAAGTACATATATATTACATATGATTAAATATATGAGGTTATAAATGTGAGTACATAATATATGGATACACAAAATATTGATAGAAGTATATTTTTTGCTTTTGATGATACAATAAAAATTTAAGTTTAAAATGCATTTAAAGTGGAGGATAATGTAAGAAAAGAAAAGCTAAAAGATATAAACGAAGAAATACAGTGTAAAGATCTGACTTGATTTGATTTGATTTATATTCATTTTCTTTTTTATTTTGATTCAACTAATAATATTTAGATAGTAATTTATAATAATTTAAAAAGTAAAGAGGCTCAACCTTGAGCGAATAAGTTCAAACTAATTATCTACATTTAAGAAATAGTCAAACGCTTTACTTTTGAAGACTTCTAAACTACTAGAGTTTACAATGTCACTCGGTAACTCTTCCCAAAGCTTGATCACTGTTACGATGTAGGATTTCTCGAAGTAAGATGTGGTAAAATTTGGTATTTTGAAAGATGTGTGTCTCTTAGCAGCGAGTCTATCAGACCGTCGAACATCTGATTCTTCTACAAACAGGTCACGCTGATACTCAGGCTTTCCATGTTCTAAAAGTTTATAAAAGAAGCAGACAGCAAAATAGAACCGGCGATATTTTACCGTTAACCATCCCAATTGTCGACGATGAGGACTGATGTGTTCATCTTTTCTGAGGTTAAAGATAAATCTGATTGCAGAATTTACGGTTCGTTGTAGTTTCAGATCATTCTCAGAAGTCGAATCAATGAGCACAAGAGAACAGTAGTCAATTAGAGGTAAGATGGTTGCAGTAACTAAAAGCCTCCTTATTTCAATGGTAAAAATGTTTTTTCGGGCTTTGAGGCTATGGAGAGCCTATCAATTGATACATTTAAAAAACTTAAAATAATTCATCAAAGTTTAATTCAAAAACTAAATAGTCTTTAATTGTTATACCAAAAAAAAATTATTTCTTAAAAATAAGTCAACTAATTAATGACTCAAAAAAAAAGCCATTCTTAACACAAGTCGGTAACATCTTGAATCAATGTTATCGCCTATCTTGAACCAAGAGACAAAAATTCTTGAAAAAAATATATCTATATCTAGTTTCCAGAGTTCAAGTTTTGAAGAAAAAAAGTTTCTTGAATCAAGATTGTTTTTCTATCAGTATGGGTGTTTCTAAGTAACCAGTCAATCAATAATTCCAATAGAACTTGAACTTAATTTTTTGAAGCTTCCATAATACAAACTAAAGACAAATATTGTTCATAATTACACAGAAAAACTACTTTAATTTTGATCCATTGAAAATAAACTAATCAAAAATTATTTGGAAAAATTGTGATAGTTATTTTTTTTAATTTTAACGTGTGAAAATTGTTTTACAATGATTTTAATAATTTATTTTTTAAGAATAATTTCAAGATAAGTCAGATGTGTCTTAATTTAAGTACTTTATTGTTAAGGATTATGAATAATGGCGCGTGGAAAATGATTAAAGATTAAGTTTATTTATCAATAAATATTAAGTAGTAAAATATCAATAGACAAAAGTACAGTACAGGTGTAAGTGGCACAATGTTAACCGATGGCTTGTCGCCTTAGACTGTCTCATCAAGCATTTCGTTCTGGATTATATACTCAAATACATTACAATAGAATATTCTCGAATATGCTAAGTACACATGCACTTTTGGTATATTCAACAATTATGATTTTTCAACATCCATCCGGGTAAAAAAGATTATGTGCAATTATATATATGTTTAACCGCTAGAAAAGAGATCTAGTCAAATACTTATAAGAAGAATTACGCCTTCGGGCTTAATCGTATAAACTCGGGAATAATCGTATCACGCTATGGCCGTCGCTCATGCGCGCCTTGGTTAGCGGTAAAGAAGCCGGCTCGCGTAGTCTGATGCAACAGTTGTGCTTGGACTTCTGTACTAGTACGACTACTCTGTGCTAATCAATTCTGACAATTCTTACTTGCATCTCACATTCATTCAAATATTTAAATTATTCATTAAATATAAATAATTATAGTAGATTCAATTATACTTTAAATTCTCAATTCATTTAAATCAGTTTAATAGTTCAGTGAATTAACATAAATAAAATCAAGTAAATTTATTTAGTGACGCCACGCGGCCATTACGCGCCACCGTGACAAAGGATTGCATCAGCCACGCGGCTTTAGTCAATCCATAATCGACGCGTGATATTAACCATTAATTACATTGAATTAATTATTAACATTTAATTACGATCTTATTCAATTTAACTTATAAATAATTAAATTCCAACTTCAAATCATTTGACTAATTTCTACACGAAAACATCAAACTCAATTGACTAACATTCTGTTATCAATTGAATATTATTAGCTCTCATCTAGAGACAATTAAATATTATTAGCTCTCACCTTGAGAAAATTTATTTAACTAATTAAACATTAGTAGCTCTCACTTTGAGACAATTCATCTAATTAATCGAACATTATTAGCTCTCGCCTTGAGACAGTTCATCTAATTAATTAGATATTACTAGCTCCCGCCTTGGGACAGTACAAATTCAAATTATCGATAATTTTCTTTATACGGCGGCTGAGCTCACCCCTATTGCGTTATTGCAACGTAATTTATACACACACACTTACACACATACAACTTACTTGTATAATTTTCATCAAGGAGGTTTTTTCCCAGCCTAGCTGGGTTTTCCTCCTTTGGGGACAAATAAATTCTTTTAAATTGTTCCCCAAAAATTCCAAGTATTATTATTTAATTTCCTAATCCCAACTTTATCATATAATTTAAAACAATTACGGGAATTATCCGCATTGGATAGTTTTCGACAAAACAGTTTTATGCTTGGCCAGTTGCAAGTTCATCATATCCATCCGCACAAATTGACTCGTCTGAATGTAATATCAAATGCCAGTTCTATCTCTTCGAGGTGCTTTGCGACGATCACGACAGCTACGTCATCCGCATATGCTACAAGTTTGACTCCCGTGGGCAATGCTATTCTCAGGAGGCCATCATACATAATGCTCCATAGCAGAGGACTTAAGACTGATCCCTGTGGCACAAAAGAAGAAGAAGAAAGAAAATACTGGGCAAAATTTAATCTTCGGTGGGCGTGAGCTGGTTGCCTACACGTCCGACAAACGGATTACAGGAGTGTCAATATCTTACAGGCTACGCATTATCCTTCTTTCTGTGTCTCGAAAATATCCACCACTCATTTTTTCAACTCCTGTCTTGTTCTTCAGTTCAGAACAAACAAACCTCGACAAATTAATTTGCTATAGAAATTTTCGAGTACCGATTAAAATTACACATTTTTTTTCATTTTAAAATTTAATATTAATTTTACTCCTTGGATATCGATCTTGTTACATTTTTCAAATTTTTTGATAAAATTAATAACAATATTAATTTTTTTTTTTTTGGATTTTACTTAAATTAAGTAAACTAATTAATAACTAACTCGTTAAATTAACTAAATTAAATTAAATAATAAACGAATTAACTATCTAATTAAAATTTTTTATTTTATATCGAAAAATTTTTTTTTAATTTTCCAAATATTTTTAATTCTACTCCAAACACTCTCTATCAACGAAACATGTCATGAAAATAAAAAAAAAACCCGAGATCTCGAGTTGAAAAGCCATATGTACATATAAACAAGATTGAGAGACATTAAAGCCCGTGAAGTGGACACTCGACAAGATCGAGGAATGTGTTTTTGGAAGTCATCAGAACAGAAGGTGTGGCGGAATCTGAAACAGAATGTGTGGAGCATATCGGATCTCACAGACGATACGGCGACGAGCGACGAGCTCCAGCAGCTCAAGCTCCGGGTAGACAAGAGCTGATGCTTATGAGAATAATAAATAAAAAAATTTGTTGTTATTATTATTATTACATATAAAAGATGAATAATAATAAAAGTAATAAAAATAAAGAAAATAACAGCGATAGTGTGTGGACTGCATCACGGACGAAGAGTCCGGTAACCCGGAGCCCAGAGTCCGGGGATCAGCCTACTCACACATCCACACTACACACGGCTTACACATACTCACCGCGGCAGAGGGTAAGAGGGCCCAGAGTCCCGCGGAGATCAAACGGACCGCCCGCCACACGTCAACAGTGGTGCTCATTTCGTTAAATTATTTATAAATTTGCCAATTTTAAAACTTACCAACTCTAGTATGAGGTATAAGAAAGATCAGATGAGTTTTTTCTCTTAAATATTATGGACTGCGGAGCAGAGGTCAGCAGAAATATTTTTTTTATAATAATTTATCAAGAATTAGTCAGTTTTTTTAATCACATTCTTAATTTTTTGAATATGAATTATGAAATAAATAAATTATTAATGATTTAATATTTTTTTATCAATTTAATTTTTTTAAAATTAGTATTGATCACTCGAAAAAATTTTAATTAATTTATAATCAGTCTACAAATTATGGTTATAAAATTAACAAATTTTTCATTTTATTTAATAATTAAATTGATACAAAAATATATTTTAATAAATTTTTACATGTAGATTTTTTTTTTTTTTTTTTTTTTTATGAATATATTTGTTAAGAAAAATTCTAAAATTTGTCACTTAACATAATTTTTTAAATACTTAGTAAAAAAAAAAAAGTAATTATAAATATATCTATTTTTGCCAACCTCTGCTATACAGAGGCCGACTCGGAGCTGGTAGAATTAAAGCCCAACAGAAGCATCAATTATCATTATCATAATGTATATAATTAACAGAATTAATTAGCTGAGGATGAGGACGAGCATAAGCCCAGGTGGCCAGGTTGTTTCGGAGTAGAAAAATATATTGATGAGAAGAAAATATGACAAGTATTTAGAACATTTCCGACCCTCTTTAAGATTAAACAACCTCATGAATTCCGTATAATCTAATATAATATAATATGTCTGTTGGTGTTTATATTTAGTTGGTAAGTTGGTATTGGAATGGATAAAAAAGGGAATAGGAATAGTAATAAGAAATAGACGCGATGATATCTAAGATATCGGCGCAAATGACGAAGGCGAGCACCTCTGAAGAGTAGGTAAAGTAAAAGGTATCGCCGGAGTTTGAGTTTTGAGTTGTTAGAGTTTAAAATGAGCGAGGAACAAGGAAGGAATAATGTTTATGTATGTATACATATGTACTACACGGTGTGGAGCACTAGGTGGTATAGGTGTCGGCGGTCGAGCTCTCGAGCAGGAATGACACGTAGCCACAGGCTTTCTTATTCTTTCTTATTCTGTTCCTTTGGACTCAGCCGCCGACCAAGGATTAGCCTAATGGGTCCTGCCCACCCCCCTTTGCTTCGCCCACCCTACTTTCTCAATCCCTTATACCGCGTACACACCATACACGATATGTGAACATGTATGTATCCACGACAGACACTACTAATACTTTGGTACCACACTCCGCTGGATAAGACTTTCGGATTGCGTTTTATAATATGTATATCCAGCTCGACTCCCTCGTCCACGTCCAGATCTCGCTGCCCGTGATATGTGTTATGTGATGGGTGAGAATCGGCGGACAGCCTTCAAGTATATAGACGGAAAATTTAATAGTGAAATGTGATTAAGTGATACCTAAATTTACATTTTTATTTTTGCTTTATTTATCATTGACAATTTTTTATCCATTTAGTTACACGAAAATTTATTTTTAGACACTGATTAAAATTTTTTTGTTTAATTCTAGACAAAGAAATTCTTAAAAATTATTTTCTATTAAATCAAGTTAATTTTTTTTATCACTATACATTCAATAGAAAATTAAATTTTATCCAGTGAAATTTTCATTTGAAACTAATTTTGTCAAGTGTCCTTTTTTCGTGACCAAAAAAATGAAAATTGAGATCTTGTCCACTGTTTAACACTTTGTAATTCACTCTTGCAATATTAGTAATTCATGTATCCTGAATAAACGCATTTAAATTTAAAGAAAAATTATACTTTTCTAAGCAGACTAAAAATGTGTCTATATTAGTTACGTCCATAAATTTTCCAATTTTCTAAAAAAAAGTTTCACTAATTATTTCTAAAGTCCAAAAACATCTAAATCTTAGGATATTACTCCAAATTAAAGGGTAAATTTTCTTAAAATTCTCTCTTCGTGTTCCGACATCACAAACAACAGTCCCGCATAATAGAGCCTGATAAGAGCGATTTGCTTATCAATTAGTCCAACGTGTCGAATTAATTACCAGGTTGCGTTCAGTAATATACAATACCTAGGTAATTAAATAGAGGCTTTAAACTCCAAAGTTTTTTAATAAATACAAGAAAAAAAAAAAAAAAAAAACTTAGTGTCGAAAGCTATGAATTAAGATCTAATGACTTGTAAAAACGATAGACCACCCAGCAGTATTTGGATTTGAAAGATTACTTTTTATTAAATACAAAAATATAACAAGTACTTAAGCTTGGTGCAGATCCTTCCTCCTGCCTCTGGGTAATACATTTAATAGAATATTTTGTTGCCTTGTGTGGTTGTGTTGCTTTATGCGGAGGTGACTTTTGGGACGAAAATTAATATTTATGGTTTTTGAGTTATTTGGTTTTGCTGGTACCAATCGACACAGTCGAGAGAATAATGAAAAAGGAAACCAATGTCTGATGGTTCTCACCGGGCGTTGACAGGAACTCACCAGCCAAAACGGAGCATAAAAACCTCGGGTATTTTTTTCTATTGTCATATTCTCACATTATTTATATTATATTATATCTTTCCCTGGTAGACCCTAAGGTGTAGAGCAGTCTGATGAGTTTCCGTAGCATTTTGTTAGCATTTAAGAGACCTCACACATGGACATGGACCCCCAGCTACTTCTTCTACTTTTACTCCTAATTCTAGTCCTTTAGTAAAATACATATAACACATATATGTATGGAGGAACTTGACTTTATATTATATATACTTGAATATACTTAGTTAACTTCAGGCAAAAGTAGGGAGAGTGAGAGAAAGAAATGAAGGAGCCGAGCGGCTAGATTTATAACTCAGCGGCACCTTTTCCCTGCGTTTGACTAAAAAGCGCGATTCGACACACGGAAAGGCGCAGGGATGGGAGGAGAAGTTTCTCATTCAACAGGATAAGTATAATAGATTCACTTGTTCTGGCTGCTATATTGCTGCTTATACTCTATTCTAATACATAATATAATATTGGGACGATAGCGTGTTACATGTAGGACTGGACTTGTCGAAACTACTTGCTCCGAAACTCCCACACAAACAACTAAACTCTACTTGGGCGACAATCCAGTTTTCCGTAATTCGGGAGGTTCAGGACCACACTCACGCTACTTGTAACTTATAAACTGGTAGCAGTACGCTTATTTTAAGTGAGATATATGTGTCCAGCATGGCGAGAATTTTAAATCTCTGTTGGCTTTGTTCTTGTCATTTCCTACAACATATTTTTAACAAGCTATTTCACAGTTTTCAGGGAAAAGAAATAAAATTTGTTTTTCCGGTTTTATTTTTAACTTCCCGCTAAAAATCTTAGATTTTTAAAAATCGGGAAGTTATTGGTTTTACCCCGTTTTTCGAAAATCGAGTTTTCATCAGATCTCGACGTTTTGAGGTCCTAGGAAGCTTCCCCAAATGTTTCCGCGATGATGTCCGTATGCGTGTGTGTGTGTGTGTGTGTGTGTGTGTGTGTGTGTGTGTGTGTGTGTGTGTGTGTGTGTGTGTGTGTGTGTGTGTGTATGTAAACCTCTTGTAACTTTTGAACGACTTGACCGATTTCATCGCCGTTGGTGTCATTCGAAAGGGCTTCACTAAACTTAGATTTCCTGAAAATTTGAACCGATTCGGACTGGTAGATTTCGAGAAAATGCAAAAAAAGTGAAAAAAAAAGTTGTTTTTTTTTTATTTTTTTTAAATATCTCCGAATTGGCTGAACCGATCGGTCTCAAAAACTAATCAGCTCTTAACCTTGAAAATCCCCATCGATCGCCACCAAAAACGATAGAATCGGTTGATGCGTTCGTGAGATATCGTTGTCGAAAAAAATCGAAAAAAGTATTTTTTTGTAATAACTTCGAAATTCATGGCTCGATCGATTTAAACTTGAAAATTTTTCATGGAGCTTCAAAAACTGCGTCGATTGCCGCCAATCGCGTGAAAATCGGTTCATTTATTCAAAAGTTATTGCCGTTTGAAAATTCAAAAAATTGTGTTTTTAAACTGCTATTAGAGTTTTGAGCTCGAAGAGCTCAAATTGACACAAAAATAATATTTTTGAGCCCGAAGAGCTCAAAAACGTAATGTGTAGTTTGAAGCGTTTAAGTACATAATGAGCGGGAAGTTGCAGGGATGGCCTTTAGGGTGAACCGTTTTTCTAATTTTTTTTTATATTTTTCGTATGATTAAATGAAAATCATACTATATCTTCAAAGTTAAAAAAAGTGATGACAAAGATTACTTTTTTATAAACAATGATTTTATTTTTAACTAGCATTCACCCGCTGCTTCGCTCGCATTGAAGTCCTTCGATAAATATCAAAGATCATTACATTCCAATAGAACTGAATCAATGTGATTCAAATTTTTTGACAAACAATTTTTTTATCTTTCGTAAAAAATAAATTTTTTTCTTTAATAACAAGTATCCTATGTTACTTATTCTAATACTTCCAAGAATATGTGTACAAAGTTTTATGATGACCGGTTAAGTAGTTTTTGCGTGAAAGCGTAACAAACAAACTTACATTCACATTTATAATATTAGTAGGGATTTAAATCCAATTTTATGATAAAATTACCAAATTCTCTTTGAATTATCTGGTCTCTTACATACAAAATTTCTAAATCTCCTACTCTTAATAACTGAAATACACTTTGTATTTCTCTCAATTTTATTAACAAGTAATTTTCAGATTCTGTAACTGGCATAATATGTTTTACTATACTGCTTGCATATTTAAATTACTGATCATTTTACTATGTTCAATTTTCAATTCTTCAATTAAAAAATACAATTCATTTTCTATAGAAAATAAACAATATAAAAATTAACAATAATAGTCAAAATAAACAATCTATTAAAAATGTACTGCTTTTATTAAGTTTTATAGGATTCTAAGAAATTTCATAAAATTTATGGGTAAATCTGATCTTTCTTGGGTTTGAATTTAAATAAATTCAATAGATTTTGTCGGGTACAGTATGTGATTCAGACCAGTGAGCAGCGCGCAGGACTAGGGTTACCAACTCAAAATTTTTTTAAATCCGGAGACTGTTCCGCCCAGAGAACTCTGTAACAAATATGTAGATGTAAAAAAAAAAAAGGTCATTTGTTTTGGATGGCTAAAAATAACAAATCAGAGTAATTAGGATTATTAAATAATTAATTTATTCATTTTAAATTAATAAATAAATAATTTAAACGTGTTTTGTCGAAAACTATCCAATGCGGATAATTCCCGTAATTGTTTTTAAAAATATGATGAAGTTGGGATTGGGAAATTAAATAATAATACTTGGATTTTTTGGGGAACAATTTAGAAGAATTTATTTGTCCCCAAAGGAGGAAAACCCAGCTAGGCTGGGAAAAAACCTCCTTGATGAAATTATACAAGTAAATTGTGTGTGTGTGTGTGTGTAAGTGTGAATGTGTAAAATTACGTTGCAATAACGCAATAGGGGTGAGCTCAACCGCCTTAAATAGAAAATTATCGATAATTTGAATTAGATAAGTCCCAAGGTGGGAGCTGGTAATATCTAATTAATTTGAACTGTCTCAGAGTGAGAGCTATTAATGTTCAATTGTCTCTAGGTGAGAGCTAATAATATTCAATTGTCTCTAGGTGAGAGCTAATAATATTCAATTGATAACAGAATGTTAGTCAATTGAGTTTGATGTTTATCGTGTAGAAATTAGTCAGATGATTTGAAATTGGAATTTAATTATTTATAAGTTAAATTAAATAAGATCGTAATTAAATGTTAATAATTGATTTAATGTAATTAATTGTTAATATCACGCGTCAATTATGGATTGACTAAAGCCGCGTGGCTGATGCAATCCTTTGTTAACGGTGGCGCGTAATGGCCGCGTGGCGTCACTAAATAAATTTACTTGATTTTATTTATTTATGTTAATTCACTGAACTATTAAACTGATTTAAATGAATTGAGAATTTAAAGTATAATTGAATCTACTATAATTATTTATATTTAATGAATAATTTAAATATTTAAATGAATGTGAGATGCAAGTAAGAATTGTCAGAATTGATTAGCACAGAGTAGTCGTACTAGTACAAGAGTCCAAGCACAACTGTTGCAGCGGACCACGCGAGCCGGCTTCTCTACCGCTAACCAAGACGCGCATGTGCGACGGCCATAGCGTGATACGATTATTCCCGAGTTCATACGATTATTCTCGAGTTTTAACGATTAAGCCCGAAGGCGTAATTTCTCTTATAAGTATTTGACTAGATCTCTTTTCTAGCGGTTAAACATAAACGTATAACAAATAAATAATTTTGAAGTTAAACGTTTTTTCTTCAATTGTTTGATATCATATATCAATAGTTAAAGATTGTTATTAGTCAATATCGTTGTCAATTTGTGATAACATTAAAATTTAGTTAGTTTTTTTTAATAAAATCATACTTAGAGCTTTTTTGAGTTGCTTCTAGCAACGTTTGTTGTTAAGGTTTACATATAAAGTCAAAAAATTTATCACAGTTCATACTAATATTAATTTTTACACATAGCTCAGCTTTAACCATGTCAACACTCAAGTTATTACGTTCGTCAGTCCATAAATTGTTCATCAACGAAAATATTCTTTCTACAAATGCATTACTAATAGGTATTGATAAAACTTTACTAACAATTTTAAATAATTCAGTAATTTCGGTACACTGAAATAATTCTACCCATTTTTTATCTATAGATTTATCACTATTAACAATTTTTTCACGGACTAGATTCACAGCACTGACTTCGTCATATAAACTATCTTCATTTATATTAATTAATAGTTTTTGAGACAATTCTAGGACTTTGTCATAGATTAAATCTTGTTTTAAATCTAAAATACTAAAATATCGATACGGACTACCTTTATAATCATAATATTTATCTAGATAATCTATAGTTCTTTGGTAAACTTTATCAGCTTCCGCAACGAATTTTTTTTCGTTGAGAATCAGTTAAATATTTTAAAGCTTGTTTTACTTTTGCACCATAGAAACTATCTTTTAATCGAGTCTGTAATTTATTCTTCAAGTTTTCCATTGTATTATGAAAATCTATACTAGTCAGACTTTTAGTTTCGAGTATTAGAATTGACTAGTTTAAAATATTCATATAGTGATGTACAAAATATATATAAACTTCAGGAAGTGTTAGTTCAGCCATCAAATCTTCAGTACTCTCATCTTCATTATCAATAAATGCCCAAATTGCAGCTTCACATTCAGTCTTTCCTATCGAAATAAAATATGCTTTGATAGCAGGCCAATATAGAATTAATCGATCGATACATTTAAATAAAGATAACCATCTTGTTGATACGTGACGAATTATTTTTCGATATTCCAAATCGAATTCCTCGAAAAACGTTTTCAAATGATCAACTTTTTTAGCACTGCAAGCGAACTCAGCGTAAATTTTTAGTACCAACATTTCAACATCGTATGACAATACTTTGCAAGCGTTACGCCCAGCGTTATGTATTACGTGGCAGCAGCAGTTGGCTTTCACAATACCTGGAGATGCTTCTAATAACTTTTGATACACGGAATTACGTACACCATAATTAACGTTAGCGTTATCAGCTGAATATGCGGAAACAAGCAAAATGTCCAAGTTGTAATTATCCAAGCAGCTCCGGATATTAGTGTAAATATCGCAAGATTCTTCTTTAGGATCTTCGAAGAAATCTAATAATTTATTTTGTACGCCACTTTTTCTTGTGAAGTATTGAATAGCAATGGGAAATAGTTTTTGATTTCCATTGTTAGAAGCATCACTTGCGATTGAAAAGTACAAAGGATCTTGTTCAAGAGGCTTAACATCGTTTATCACCATCTCAATTGACTTTGGAGATAACACGTTTTTAACGATAGTTTCAGCCTTAGTTCTACCACAACGAATCTCTTTGCTAACCATTGAATCATTAAACATTTTTGAACTCAGTTTAATTCCACAATCAGTACTTAAATAGCTGTGGTGATGTTGGAGACCATGATAAACAGAAGCAACTTCAATTTGAGCCTTCTTGTTATCAATTGCTGTTGATTTTACTGGAGCAAATTGAGTTATTAAACAATTTTTTTGTCGTTCAGATGTATTTTTTTTGTGCATCGTAGAATTCATATGTTTAGTCAAAGCAGTTTCACCATTCCATTTGATAGTAAATTGAGATGAACAGTAAACGCACTTAACTGTTTTTTCATCAATTTTTCTCATCCAATCCACATATAAATGATTTTTTTCCATCTTTCGTTGAAAGATGTTTCGTACTTAACTTTTTTTTGTCTTGGCTGTTCTGCCATTTTTAAAAATTGCACTTTTGTATTCAATAAATAATTTTAATGATAATTTGTATTTTTTGTTAAAATTATAAAATCTCTGATAAGACAAAACTATTATTTAGCAGCTACCTGAAAAAATACATGATATATGAGAATACATATTAAGGTTATAAAATGTCATTAATTTAAAAACCCGAAGTTAATCAGGTGATGATAGATAATGAAAATGTATGATATCAATACTTACATTTAAATAATACTGATCATAAGTGATGCCTTAAAACTAATAATCACATAATAATTAATTAAATATTCGACATTTTAAAAGTGCGAATTTACGTACGTCAACAACAACATTATTTCCTTGTGAGAAGTACGTACGCGCAAGCGTGAGAATTCAAAATGCGAAACTTGATTAGCGCGACTAACGCGCTCTATATTCTCGGTAAATTATTATTATTATTATAGTTCCGTACATTTTGTTGCGACAGAAAAAAAAAACTATATTTTTTTCCTAAAAGTAAAAAAATCTGGAGATTATTTTTGTAAACTGGAGTCCGGAGAATACATTATTTTTCTGGAGTCTCCGGACTAAAACCGGAGAGTTGGTAACCCTATGCAGGACTAATAACCAGGAGGAGTCGAGTTCGAACCCAGCAGACGCCCGGAATTTTTCATCAAATAAAATAGCTTCTGATTACTACATCATATTCCGAATCGCATTGGTTTCAATATAATTAAAAAAAAAAAAAATTTTTTTATCCATTTTTGAAAAAAAAATTAATATAATTATATATAATTGCATATAATTATATATAATTGGATATAATTATACATGATTATATATAATTATGCCGGGCCATTTTTGCATGCCTTAAGCGCGAAGCGCGCAGGTATGCTCTACTCTCGCCTAAAAATCGTGATTTCGATTAAAACGTGATTTTTATGATTTAAACAAAAAAAATTATGGATAAAAAGCATATTGAAATACATAATAGTAACTATAGAACACGTTAAAAAAATTTTCTTATTGATTAAATAAGATTTCTCAGAAAAAACTCGTTTTTCTGATGAATTAAATGAATAAGAGCGTGGTATTCATGGGAGCTATGGGCTTGACAACACCACAACTTTGTCAAAAATC